GTATATACAAACAGCACATTGAAACTTACGATTAAACTTTTTCTCTCTCTTGCCCCTCTTCCCTCCCCTCCAAGACCGATATTACTATCGCCGGTAACTATAAATGCGAGCCCGGGATATTACGGTTACTATGACGATTGATCGAAATTCAAAATTGGCGCGACCCGCGATCGCAGGACGAAGGATAATCGCGCCACGATACGTATCGCCGAGTGTGCTCTCGTCGGTGAAAATATATTGAAAAAAGAATTTGGCGATAAGTACTAAAATTTGGTGAATATTTGCCCATCAAATATTTGATTACGACAACCGGATAATTTCCGTACACGGAGAAAATCTGATTGCATTACCCAAAAAGGGAACAACCAAGCTTTTTTTTCCGTGTATTAAGTACACAACATATGGAACTGCAGTAGGGGAGACCGGAGCTAGTTGGCTAAAGGGGAAAGTTGGCTAATTGATTATTTCCGTTGTTTTCTAACAGGTTACAGAATAGAGCAAGTAGGAATTCCGTAACTATCTTCGATATGTTTAAAATTTCTGCCGATTGCTCGATTCTGTAATCTATTAGAGAATAGCAGAAGTAATCGATCAGCCAACTAGCCCTGGCCTCCCCCACTGTATATACAGTATACGGAGGAACTAAGTTATTTGGTTGCAGTAATCAAATATTTGGACGGGAAATATTCAAATTTTAATACTTATTATCAAATCCTTTTTCAGTGTATTCGGTCGTGTTTGCTGAACTTTTTGTTCACAGCATCCGTTCGAAAGCGTGTCTGCTATGTAACTTGAACATCCTGGAGGGGAGCCTCGTGTGTCATCACGACGCGTTCTCGTTTGTGGAGGTCGTTAAACGTCGCGAAGTTACTTTGCGAAAGATGCTCACGACGAAGTGTGTATGTGTGTGTGTGTAAGCGCGCGGGAAAAAGGCGGTACGGCTTTCCTTTCTCTCTCAACGATCGACATGATTTTCCGCACGTGACTCCCGCCAATATTAAAGATTCAATTCGGTTTACTTGCAAGCGAACCGGCAAACCCATGCGCTCCCACTCGCGTTCCACTTTGTCACTTTGAATATTAATTTCGGACCACGACTATGTCGAGTCGTCGATTGCTGCCACGACGAGATTTCGTAAAATTATCAGTCACACGTCGCACGGAGATACAAAGCGAACGAGGAAAACCGAAGATTCGCTAAAAGATCTCGGCAACTGTCGTTCCACGAGGGATTATCTTCTTCATCAATTTAAGGTCCGCCCAAGTCAAAATTTTGGCTCTATTTTAAACTTTTGATTCTACGACACAGTAGAAGTTAAGATAGCAAGATAGGTTTAAAACACCTACTTTGACCCTGATGATATCTTGAATTTCTGTTTTCGCTGTTTTAGCATCAAAATAGGTCGTTCAAGATAAAATTAAAATTTAATCTATAGAATTAAAAATGTTCAAAAGAGAAGTTGAAAAATGTCAGTATCAAAGTAGGTTTTTATTAGTCTATTAAGCCGTCTAGATTGCCGCAAACTATTCTTAAGAGCAAAATTTCATCAAAATTTCAATTTGGGTTGAAGGTAACATTAAAATTCAATGAATAAGATTTATGATTATGATAAGAGAGAAGTTAAGAAGTGTCAATATCATTAAAGCAGGTTTTTATTAGTCAATAGACCATCTGAGTAGGCGCAAATCATCCTTAAGAGCGTCAAAGTAGCATGAAAATTTCGACACGGGCGTTCAAGGAAGTTCTATTGTACGTGTACAATTCGAAATTTCGGCGACACGAGGAAATATGGAAGTGATTTTGCAAAATTCGCGGGATATATCAGCGTGAATCGAGTGTTATTTATAATCGCCATGCTGTGATATTATATCGATAGCGCGCTGCACGCCCGACGATAAGCATGCGACGCGACGCGCGATGCGGGATACTCGCGCACAGATTACGATTTTTATGCGAGCTCTAATCTCGCGCGATATATAACGCATGATTGTTATCACAATCAATAACGCTAATGAAACGAAATTCACTCGACGTAACCTTCAATTAACACAAAGCCGCTACGAGCAATCGTGCCGCATTTCCCGGCAATAGCATCACGCTTTATCTCGGCCCGATCTGTTTTTCGCTTGCCGGTCACAGGTTGACGGCCTCCAAATTCCCGATCGTCCCTTGACATGTCCCACGTCAATACCCTCTTTCCCCCTCACACATACACATTCGTACTTGCACACCCGCGCCGACTACGCTAACGGGACACTTAAATATTCCAGATAAGGGCGCGCTATCGCGATCACCCGCATTAGAGAGCCTTGCCGCGTTGTGAGGGTCGATCTCGTGGTCACCATTCATGCCAGCGCGAGTTAGGTGTCGCGACCTTTTCTTCGCGGCTTTTTGTCGTCATCTCTGCGGCATATCGCCGAAGATAGATCGATCGATCGACTGGCCGGCCGGCCAGCAATGTCGAGACTCACGATCATCGCGTGGATGTACGGTGCCAGTGGTGGATTTAGAATTAAAGAGACCTTAAGGAGATTGTAAAGCGAAATAAATTTGATAAGAATTCGATGAAATTTATACGACGTATATATTGGAGTATTATTTCATCTTCTCCTGCAATTAGAAAGAAATTAACTATTCGAGAGCTCTAAGATATTTGCAACTAAAGTTGACACTTGTATATATTTTCTTTGAGATTAACGGGTTATTATTATTTTTTCATATCTTCTAGGTTAGAAATATTTCGACAAAAAACTAATATGATATTAAGGAGTAATATATAAATATTCATAAACAAACTTCGGAATTATTGACTATTTTATTTTGAAAATACAGCGGTGTCAAGTTCATAATTTATAATGTATGTATATATCGGTTTTATAACATCTTTCAATGTCTTCCAATCCCCACACGCATACTTGTGGTGCGTACGCAGATTTTATACATAAGTATATGGGACTTACAGTTTAACGCCAGTCATAATTTATAATAATATTTGAAATACATATATACATATTTAACACATATTTAAACACTTATATACTTCCTTCTATTATCTGTGCATCTCTATTAGATCACAACCGATGTATAACATTAATAAGGAAAATAAATATTTTCGTTTTTGTAATATTGTGTATATATGTTTACCTCAATTTTGTGTAAAATTAACATTTATTATTTAAGTAGTAAAATAAAAGTATAGAAACCTAATTTTACATGAAATACTAAATTTATGAATAGCTCCTTTGATGCGCCACTGGAAATACGGCATTGAGCCTCACAACTTCTTTAAACACTTATATACTTCTTTCTATTACCTGTACATCTCTATTAGATCAACTGATGCATACATTTAGTATTAATAAGAAAGATAAGAAATAATATTTATTGTTTAGGTAATTAAATAAGTGTAGAAAAACCTCATTTTGCTCGATAAATAATAAACTTATGAATGGCCCTGTTAATACGTCACTAAAAATATGACACTGAATCTCAAACAACCCTTTAAACTCTTGCATTCTTCCGATTGTTTGAAGATCGTTTTCGGCGCGTTTTATAAGCTCAAACGTAATTTCGTGCGTTTCTAATGTGCTTGCCGAGTTACTACGATATTAAATACCAAGTAAAAGCAAACAAAGCGAACTATTCGAGTGGAGAGATATAGGAGAGAGAATTTCGCTCGGAGATCATTGCTCATCGTGCCGGTTTGCGCACGACGCAAACGACGAGATTCACGAGGAGAATATAACTTGAAAACGAGAAGACAATCGTAAATCTCGCGGTGCCCTAAGCGACCGTATATCGTGAAATCCGCCACTGCGCGGATCGATGCGCACAAAAAGCTGACCCGATCTGCTATTTAAAGGCATATCCCAGATTTTACTACGTGACGGATTTTATTCTGGGATCCTTTAATGGGACGAATGCATGTACGGCCGGCCCATTCGATCACTCCCGGAGAAAGAATGCAATCGGGATAATAATAAGCCGCGTAGCAGAGGGGATGGGTGGTGAGGCGGAAGGGAACGAGCGCGACTCGTTGCGAGAATCGTTGAATTATTGAGGTATCGAGAGTACGTACGATCGAGACACATCGGTTGTAATCGAGCATCTGAGAATCGGCATCTGGCCGGCGGATGTTGCAGCGTCGTCGTCGGTGCAGCTAACGGCGGCTAGTTTCACTCCCCGGTGCCGACGAACTCTCTTTCTCCTTGTTCATTGGCGGGCAAATTAGTTGCCGTTACTGTTTTCGCGACGGTTTCGGCTGGGATTTTCGACGGGAATGCCTTCCACCGTGGAATAACGTACTTCAGCGTCGCGTGACAATAGGCTGTTTTGCCGCTTTTTGGATTGTTAATTTATGACTGGTGGGCGCGCGCAGCCCCTCGTGTGTACGCCCTGTGGCGTACGCCGTGTACAGGGTGTCCCGCGACGAGATATTCAGATTTTACGATCGCATTCTGAGAGCGACTCTTGACGAGAGGGATGGGCAGCGCTGGGTGTATAGTCACTCAAGTCACCTTTTGTCGCTTTTTCTTGACAAGTTACTCAAATATTTACTATCGTTCGAAATGGATAGCTGTAATCACTTTTCTCTAGCTACCGTTAAATTTGTAAAATATAGGCGTTCTATATATTTTTTTGCCGTCTCTTTAAATAAAACCGCTCCGAAAACGTATTTATATTGTATCGTTCGTGCTTGGTTTTCTCTTTGTTATGAGCTTTCAAACCGTAATATGAAAAGAACTCGCTATATGTTAAGTTATCCAAAAATAAATCTAGGAAAATATGAGTGTTACCTTTTCGCTTAAATAGCCTTATTTATTCTCAGAATCTGACAAAATTACTTATAGTCACTATATTGATGCCTGGGAGGTTACTTTTTGTCACCTCTTCTGCCAAGAAGCAGTCATCATTTCATTGTTTTTTATTGTTATTTATTGTTCCGGTGACTAGATAGTAATATTGGGAAAGGTGAGAAATAGAGAGAGAGAGAGAGAGAGAGAGAGAGAGCGAGCTGTATTTGCATGGGATTTTTCGGTAAAAGTGTGATTCGCGGGGTCTCTCCAGCGCGATTTCTAAATTTGACGTTCATGCGTGTGTGCAGTTTCACGTATAGGTCTAGTACGTACAGGCATGCACCGCGTGCTCTATCAATGATTCATAGACGCGCTAGAGAGAGAATCTTGCCGTCGTCGATGCCGCGGCGGTTTCCACATGCGATCGGAATGTTGGCGCGCACGATGTTTCCGACCGCGTGGGAGTGACTCGCCAGTGTCATTAACGTTTCGTACATTCTGATTTCAGGTATCATCGCATCTCGCCTCGCCGCCGACAAAGCATGAAGGCTGACAGCGACGCGAAGTGACCACCGGGCCTTTTCGCGTCCTCCTTCCTCACCCACCCCCTTCCGAAATACGCACCAGCTGTGACAAACAGAAAACGAAGGCTGAATCCTCCGACTATATGCATATATATTTAGAGAAAGAGGCAGGGAAAATAAGATAAAGAATAATAAGGAACAGAGAGAGAGAGAGAGAGAGAGAGAGAGAGAGAGAGAGGACCGCAACAACGCCAAAAGCTAGTAAAATTTTAGTCGAAGCGTGAAAGAGCGTGCACGAGCGAGATAAAAAATACATACATATATATATATATATATATACACACACACATAAATATATATATATGTAGAAAAAAAGGAGAGAGTGATACAGGAAGCATAGGAAGTGAGAGAGAGAGAGAGAGAGAGAGAGAGAAAGGAGAAAGAAATCAGAACATATATATGTATATATATATATGTATATATATATATATATAATTATATAAATATATATGTATATATATATATGTATATAAAAGCGACTCGTGAGCGTGCGTGTAAATAAGAGCTATTTTTCGTATGAGAGCGAGAAGAGAGGAGGCGGCCTGGCCGGAGAGAGGAGCGAGGAACGACACGTTCGAGCATCCTCGATAGACGAGAGAAGATTTAAGGTGCTCCTCCTGGAGAAGAGAGCCGTCGTCGAGTGGAAGGAAAGAAGAGGAGGAAGAAGGAGAAGAGGAAGAGGAGGAGGACGACGTCGAAGACGACGACGACGGCGACGGCTACGAGGACAACGCGCGGCAGAGGCGGCGGTGGAACGAAAGGATACACCGTCACGGTTGTTTGGACGTTGTTTCGATGCTCTCCAGCCTGGATCGCTGGCGTTTCTCCCCTTTACAGAGGAGATCCTCTCGCGGAGACTGACCGGGCCGATATCCTGTAGGAATCGCCGAGAAAGAGTCCGGCTTGCCAAGCGACCAGAAGGATACGAAAGGGTGCCGCGAAGGTACAGAGAGGAGAAGGAGGGTGGACAAGAGGAAAGGGGGTGAAAAGAGGAGAGAAAGAGAGAGAGAGAACGATCGTGCGGCATCGAGAGGGCTGGCTGGCTCCATGTTGTGAGCGTCTGAGGACTGCCGAGGGCAGCAACGAAAGGGCGGGGTAGGGTGTCGCCGTTATGGAGTACGGTGGCGGGGGCGGCGGGGGACGCGGGGGTGTCCAGCCACCCTCCGCGGGGGCGAGGGGCATCGCCGGCACCGACACTACCGACGCTGCATGGCACAAACACGAGCAGATGATGCTCATGGAGTCCAGACACAAGCAACAATGTGAGTAAACGCACTGAGTCATTTCCTACTCTTTCGTCGATTGATGCACGTGCGGCGCCGGCTATTTTCGGGGAGATTATCGGTTTAAGGGATGAGGCGTGAGAAGGGGGGGGGCGGAGGCAGGAAGCGTTATTTCGCGGTCTGCGTTGACCGGGTGGAGGGATCGAGGGGGAAAGAACCCGATCTAGGAAAATCTTGACGTCGAGAGTGATACGGGTCGCTCTAATAATATATCATCGTACCTTATACGGCTGTAATTCTTGCATTTCTAGATTCATTATTTTTGCGAATATATATTCCAATTCTATGGATTTTTTTAATGCGACCTTATCTATGTTTAAACATTCTCTTGCGCGCTCAATTTTGTAATTGATTAATAATTAATTTTTCTTTCATCAGTTATTTTTCTTTCTCTGTTTTCTATGTTACTCAATCTAAATATGTTAACGAATCTATTCCCATTAATGAAGAAGAATAAAAGAATTAAAAAATCACTATATAAAGATTATAACACACATCATAATATTAACCACAATTCCGATATGGTTCAGTACTACAAAATTTTGTGGTAATTTTTACTACAATATTTCCCCGTGTAGGAAAATCTTGACGTCGAGACAGCGATGCGACTCGTTATCGTGAAAAACAATGATGATATTAATTCTTATATTAATCATATTAGGAAATTACTGTGTATCGAACCGAATAGAAAATTTGTCGCGGTCTCAATTGATTGAGGGGCCGCGGTCGAAAGAGCTCGGCTTAGGAAAATCTTGAAGTCGAGAGAGCGATGTAAGTCGCCCTCGGGAAACAATGATAATATCAATTAATGTATTAATGATATCAGTTATGAAATTGCTTCGAATCAAATCGATTAGTAACGATTAAGAGCGTTGAAATAGCATTGTTACATGAACACGCTCCTCGCGAAGGAAATTGGAACGACGAGGGGTAGTTTCCGCGAATAACCAGCGCTCGTTACGCGACGCAATCGGGGCAGCAATCGTGAGACGTTGCGCCGTAGCGATCGTGAAGATCCGCGACTTCGCCGGCGCGCCCGTAATCGACGGGAAACAAATAACCCTTTGATCCGGCGGCGTTTCACGTAAGATTACCAACTGGCACTGTGATCGATCGTCTATTATCTTTCACAATTAATCGCATTTCCCCGCCCGCTCGCCCTCCCGGTCTCGGCGGCGCGGCGAGAACGAGAGGAGAGCAGCGGCGGAGTTCGACTAGAGAGAGAGAGAGAGAGAGTGAGAGAGACTCTCGATATACCGAGTGTCCTGGATCAACCGCGTTTCCTTCGACCTACGAATTCCTCTTGACCGATCTCCAGTCGATTTTTCTTCGGATTCGAGGATCAAGTTACGCGCAGTTGCTAATAAATTAACGAGAAATTAATTCCCCGGGCAATCTCGGCGCGCGGACTTGGTGAGATTTTCATTTGGGCCGGAACGAAAACGTAATTTCAGCCTCGGTTACCGTGGATGCCTGACGCGGAGAATCGCGCAAAGGCCGCGCGAAGCAGATAGATGACGTTCCATTAAATTTTCAATAAGAGAACATCGAGACTCAAAACGGACGGAAAAATCCGCGGGTCAAAGGAAGCCCGCGCGGTTGATACGAGGCCGCTCCGTGTAACGCGGCGCGCTCGATCTCCATGCAAAAGGCAACTGCATTCGCGGTCTGATGATTCGGGAAATTGTTAATTATCGCGATAATAAGTCGGGCTTCGCCTCCGCGCGTCTCGCTGTAGCTGTAACAAGTAGCCGTTAAGTTCGCAGAGGAGAGTTCCGGCTACGGGGTTATATGTACGTATGCGCCCCGCGTGCGTGCACATGTGTGCGTGCATAAATTCGATGCGCCCAGGCGTGTCCGAAAATAATGGCCGAATGATCGCAGGTGGAACGGCCGATTCTCGACGGTGGAGGGTTCGTCGCGATATCGCCATGATGAGCGATTGTTAAACAGATAGCCGGAGGGGAGAAAGGGGTAGCCTTGGAAATTTGACTTTTCGACGACGCGTTGTATCATCTCTTTTTGCCGGGGAAACGTGTCGATTCCGTGAGATCGTCAATTTTCACAAATCGACGATCTACGTTGAGAAAAGGAGAAACGGTAGTAGAATCAACGAGAGTTTGCTTGTACGAGCACAATTCGCTTGAACAAACGTCCAGTTAATTGAGTAAATTAGGTAAATATATAGGGCGAGAAAATAACTACTGTCACTTTAAATATCTTTGGAAAATAAAAATATATTATTCGCAACTGGATGAGGGTGGAACGTTTATAGGGGATTTACAGAAAAGTCTGAAGTAGGGGGTAGTAATATTCGACATATTTATATATTCAATGTCGGGTTATTCGAAGATTCGAAACGTCGAAGCTGTTAATAGAACTAATTTTGAAGAGCACCACAAAATGCTGTGCAACTAAAGAATATCGGTTTAATTAAAGATATATCTTCAGCCTAATTCTGAGATTTGTATTTGTCTAGTTTAACCGTTTTAGCGCCACGCAGCGCGATCGCGCTGCTGTTCGCGTACTGTGGTGAAATATGCCGCGATGTTTGGTCACGATCGTCAATTCGCAACGTGCTCGGTTCCGAATGTAGCTCGTCGTGAGTCATATCAGAGTTTCCTCTCGTAATTACTATTTTTTTTCAAATAATCGTAAACCACCTGCATAAATAAGCTGTTTTTATTTAATTTACGTTTCTGATATGACTGATGAAATGAAGCGCGAGTGCGCCGAGCGGCATATTTCGACGAAAAACAAGAGCAGCGCGATCGCGTCGATTGGCATTACTCGCAGATAAATGAACGAAGCGCTATCGCGCTGCATGGCACAATCCGTCACGGATTTTTAAAAACCTCTAGCACTAAAACGGTTAAAACAAGGTGAATGAAGAAAGCGCAAATAATAAACAACAAATCTTATTAGCTCCATTTTACAATAAATTTTTCATATGTAATAACATAACATATTGAAGAAAAAATTACATTCTTTAGAACAGTAAATACTATTTACTATGCCTACGAAACGAATACACGTACTTTCCAATTTCTGAAATTTCGAATATTGAAACATTTTAATATCCAAATGTTCGAATTTTTATACTTCCAAATTTCATTATTCGAATATAATGTGTCGAAGGTTAAAAAATTCGAAACTTCGAATGTAATTTCTATCTTTAGTCCGAAGTAACGATTGATATCGATGTAATTTGTATTAGATAAATTTTAATATCGATGTAATTTGTATTAGATACATTTTTCTCCTACTCTCATATTTCGATGATATTCAAGGTGGCAATTATTGCCTCACCCTGTATAGTTTCCGCGATAAATTATCAATTGATTCAATGATCACGGTTGAATCGGCGATTATATTGATGTGACGCGGATTAATGCGCCAGCACGTGATTCATTCAGCGGACACAATATTTCTTTCGAACGAGGGAAAACCCGATTTTGTCGATCTGACAGTTTTCTTCTTCCCAGCGTGACCATCTCGCACTTTAATGGACCGACCTCATCGCTTATTTACACCGACAGGAGACCTGCTCTATTTTTCCGAGTATCATTCGCGATATTCATCTCCTGTCGCGTCTCGGATCGCTCTTTAATATCCACGATCGAGAGGACCGTCGTTCCGCGAAATAGCGCGACGTGGCTGCTACTTCGTGGCGTGAAAACGAAGTCTGAAAACCTCGCAAGTTCTACTCAACGACGATCAGCCCCCCTCTCTCTCTTCCTCTCTCGCTCGCGAAACTACTGCTATTGATCGTCGCTCCAAAATACTCTTTCGTCGTGAATCATTGAACATCGCTGATCGACGTATATCTCTTTCTCTCCTTCTCGGCGGATGCGTGCGAGTGGGAAAACGCGTGAAAAAAGTCGGTCTGGGAGAAGGAAAACGAGCGAGGAGGAAGCGCGAGAGTAGCGGCGGGAGAGAGCGCGCCCGAGAGAGGAGAGAGAGACTACTGTCGGCGCTCTCGGGTTCGGGGAGAGTGCGAGAGGTGTGACGTATTTTTAAACGGAGAGGCAGGCAGGCAGGCAGCCGACCTCCTATACTTAGGCTCGAGTTGTCTTGTGACAGCGACCAGAATAGTGTTGGTCACGTTCTGTTTCTCTCGCCTGGCAAAAGACAATCGCCTAACATTCGATACGTACGGACGGATGAACGTGCATCACCGCCTCCCTCTTCCTCCTCTACCTCCATCTCCTCCGTCTTTTCCAAGATTTTCATCTTCCGAGCGGAGATTGGAATCGGCGCGGCTCGGATTATACGCTGTATCCGCTGTATCTTACATTTAAACATTTGTCACTCAAGCGGCTGCGCGCGAATTTTACCAACAGCGACGCGCGGAAAGAGCGATAAATATCGGCCCCGCCGGCGGCGGCGCGAAATTTTCGCCGGAACGCATCTGTATGCGCCCCCCCCCCCAAATTTCCCGCCACGACGCGAGCGATCGCATCCAGTCGATGAGATTGGCGGCGACCCGCGCGAGAACAACGGCGCGCGCTTTACAGCGACGACGTCGGCGGCGTCGTCGCGACGCGGCCGGTTTTTGGACCGATGCCTGATCAGCGACTCTCGGGCAATTCGAAGACTTCGACCGGCCAGCCGGCTACCAAATGACATATATATTTTTGACTTGGCACCTTCTCTCTCCTCCCTCGCGCGCCCACCGCCGCCCGTTTTTATCCTGGACCGATATCGACAGACGTTGACCCCAGTTGAGACGGAGAGAAGGAATAACGAGAAGAAAAGCGAGATCGCGCGCACGCAGCAACATTTCTCGCGTTTCGAGTTGTCAATTAATCAGTTCCGCACTTTGATCTCTCTTTATTTACGTAGATCCCCGTCGCGCGTTTTGGCGTGCAGCTCTCTCTCTCTCTCTTTCTTTCTTTCTTTCTTTCTTTTTCGATCTTCTGGATACTTACCACGATAAAGCGATCTCATTTTCGCGTTCGTGTGTGTTTGCGCAGGGAAAATTGGAAAAAGTGGATAGCGCACAGCCGAGAGATAGGAGAAGACAATAGATTGATCGCGAATCGAACAAAATGAAATTGTCGATCCGGCGAGATGTAACCCTTGATATATGAAGCAATCTCGCGATTCTAATCGATCAGCGAAAAAATACCAATGTCGTCCTACATAGGGATCGGCGAAGAGAGCCCGAGAGAAAATGATCGCGGTTCCAATGGCGTAACCGGGGTGAGAACGCACCCGATGCTTGCCGCGCTTAAGTGCACCCTCCCTCACCCTTTCCGTCCCGTTTTCCCGCCCCCGACCGCTCTCACGATCGCCTTTCTCCAACGTTTTTAAGTTGCAAAAACGAGAGCTCCGTATAATTTAGCCCTCGTCATCTGAAACGGCTTCTTTCCCCGAGAAGAAAATTATGGCCTCGTACAAACCGGCAGATTCGAATGTATTCGTGTAAATGTAAAACCGGAAAATTTCGTTCGGACACAACATGTAAGAGAAAAGAAGAAAGATCATAATTCCAGGTATAGGAGCGACTCATTCTTTTCTCACTTTGCCCTATTTATTTAGAAATATTTCACTTTTTATTCACTTCTAAAATTCTCACTTTTTTCTTACTCGATTTGAGCCCTTCCAAAAAAAAGAAAAACAACTTGGTCACAAGGAAATCATGTTCAATAATTAGTTTCTTTAAAGGCAAGACAGAAGATTCGAAGAAAATAGAAAGTAACACCGACTTTGACAACATAATGTTTATAAAGTGAAGAACTGTGATTTTATTTTTAAGTTGTTTTTGTCAGATTTGTTAGAAAAATAGACAATGTCCGGCATGCGTACAACTGATTGTGTCTTCTTCAAATTACGTAGTGGAATGGATTGGCCACGATTTATCCACGTTTGTCCATCCAAATTCTTGTTTGTTCGACAAACCAAAACGAGTTATTACAAAACAAATCCAAGAAAACAGATAATAACCGTCATTAGCACATGTGTTTTTTTTTTATTGGATATTATTGAATGTTTAATAAATTGATTAACCAGTTTATTTTCAACGGAAAACCCCAAAATTTAAATGTTTTCATCTGTAAAATTTTTTTAACGAAAAGATCTAGGATATCCCAACATCCTGCAAATATATTGCAATGTAGCTTAACTGGGCTCAAGTATTATTTTCTATTTTATTTCATTAAACGTGTTTAAAAAACATAAAGAATTTAATTTCTGTTTTTGTGAAAGGTTTTATTCTGTTTGAATATATGTCTAAGTTTAAAGTAAATTTTAGGTTCTATGTATTATGTAACTTTTTTGTACCTCAAAATTCAATTCTTTATTGATTTTCTCTCTATAGTCAGAGTTTTTAATCTCTTAGAGAAATGATGTAATAAATAAACAATTTAATTTTCAACCCACAAATTATTTTATTATTTCGTTATTATTTCACAGACACTTTCTCATTTTTTACTCACATTTTTTTTTTAAAGCTGACTCGCTATTTTTGGCAACCAAATCGTCCCCATGCTTGTAATTCTTTCTTCTTATTGTTTGTCTAAAAACGTACGAATTGTTCGCGTGAAACGATCGAGAAAATACAGAAGAGGTTCGTCACCGTGCCGTTTGTTTTCAAATAAATCTCGCACTCTTATTATTTCAAGTTGCGAGCTTACGGCAATTTCGTAACTCTCTTACCGATGCTCTTTCGCGGAGCTCGTCCGCACGTCACACGCGACGACGCGCAAATATATCAAAACCGATTGAATTTCGAACTTTGGTCCCCGTCGCTTCTCGGGTTTCCATTAATCCCGGCGTTGGTTATTACCACCACGCGTACTATATATTTACACACATACACACATATAATATATATATTTACGATGCTCTCCTCGCGCCTGAAACTACAGGCAGATAATATCGGCGCGTCTCGTCCGCGTCTGTTGCACGCTTATTGTTGCGCCAGGAGCCGCGGTTACCTTCCACGCGGCTTTGTGCCCCTTGCCTGCTCCCTCGCTTTCCTCCCCCCTCGTCGTCGTCACTCTTCGTTCGTCGCACTTTTCGTCGTACTCTTCTCCGCGGGTACAGGGAATACGGATCTACGGAAATACGGCGGCACGGGCTCTCAATTAGCCGTTGCCATTTGAGCGCGCGTCCCGAACTTCTACGCACAGCGGAAGGAGGGAGACGTTATTTATCGCGTAATGAAGCGCGAGAAGGTCTCGCTAACGTCAAAGTTGCGAGAGATGGTTATCGGATAACCGATAACCACCCCCCCCCCCTCGCTTCCCCTCTCTCACTTCCGCCACTTTCCCTCCCTACGCACGGGTCGGGGTCCTCCGCGTCTCTTTTTCCGCGGACTGTGGAAGGAACAATAACGACGGCTACGTATCGTGAGGGCGCATGATTGCGAGGGTGTGCGCGACGTCATCATATCCCCCCGAGGGTGATGCAAAATCGCGCTTGAATTGAGCAACGTCGCGTGTACCGCCGCGAGATCCGCGGGAGAAACGTATCCGGTCGAAGTGAGCTGGTGCGTCGTCCTTGTCAAGATAACACTCTGAGAGGTCACGAAAGAGCCCTCCCTTCCTGGGAGAAAAGTTATGCTGAATCTTATTGGAGATTTATGGTGCCGTTTCGTCGCCGCGCCACACGACGGCGGGGCGCGTATTATCGCGCTATGCCGGGCAATTTACGCGCGCGCGAAAATGAGAAAGAGAAAGAAAGGGAGATATTCAATTACCGTACCCTCTTGTGTGTATCTGCGACGGAGAGCGATAGAAATTAAACGCGCACTCGATACGAATGACGTTAATAGAAAATATCGAATCCGGCGAGATGTCTTGCCGCATAAATCAAGCGCGCGACACGACTTTGCGGAAATGCATTCGGCGGCAGCGTGAGATGCTCCTCGGCAGGAAGCTGATGACACCACGGGGTGCGTTCCAAGTATTTCAGATCGCTGCGGGAATCGTGCCGAATCGATTTCGCTCGCACACGTGAAATCGCGCGCGCGCCCGGTTTTCTTTTCACGAGAAGGAGGAGGGAACGCGACATGAGGCTTTCCCTCGGACTGGCGTCTCGTCGGTCGCCGGAGGTCCGACCTTTTCCACCTGGCGGTTCGTGAGAACCCTCCTCTCATTTTTCTACTTATTTCGCTGAACCCTCGTTCGCGTGAAGGCAACGACAGCGCGCGGGTAAGGCGGGTTACGTACGGGGCGACACAGTGCGCGTGATTCACGCCGCTTTGCTCGAGATTTAACCCTTTACACTTGTAATAATTCGAACCCAGTGTGTCGAGCTCATCATAAATTTCAAAATCTGCTCGTGGTGTAGATATAAAAAAGATGCATTAACTTTAGATCTTGCATAGATTTCGTCATATGGTTTTAAAGACTCGGAGAAAACGTTTTTTTCCCTCGGTTCTTTTCGGCTTTATTCTGCGAAAAACGTGAAAAAAGAATCTCTTCATTTTTCTACGAATTATTTTCGATTTCTTTTTACGGAAAAAATAAAAAGACGGTTTTTAAACTACGCAATAAAAAACATTTTGTATTAAAATTATTAAAATTTTATTGTTGAATTTTTAACATATCTATTAATTTAACATGATATGTTTGTTATCTTAATATGTTTTCTGTTGAGTTGATATTCAACATGTGGAAATATTAAAATAACACATTTATATTTCAATATCGATTAACATATGTATATTAATTTTGTGTTAATTTTTAACATATTTGTATTATTTTTCAACATATTCACTTTGTGATGTTAATATTAATATATTATGTAAGTTAATATAAAAAATTGTATGGGTCGTTTGGATCATATAAAATGTTTGGATCATATTAAATTTACAAAATTTTCGCAAATTTTTTTACTATGTATATTTTGTCACAATTTTTTGAACATACCTCTTTATATGATTTTCTCGGGATAAATAATGAAATTTAACTTAATAAATAAATAATTAATTGAAACTCACTTAATTAACACGTTGACTGCCAACTACGAGATATCTCGTCGCTTCATTACTTGATTAACACGTTCATTGCCAATCACGCGATATCGCGTGATGCGAGTTCTCACCAAACGGCCGATCACGCGTTATCGCGTAATAGATATTTAGAGTACATAAATCCTATGTACATAATAATAAAAGCATATAAATAATACATTAACTTATTTTGAGCACAATAAAAACTAAATAAAAAAATTAAAAAAATACGCGAATTCCAATTTTCAGCTTGGCAATGAACGTGTTAAATCAAATTGGCTTCTTAGACCAGAATCGTGAAAAGTTCCGTGGCAGTCAACGTGTTAACATTCTTTTATCTCCGGCATCTGGAAGCAGGCGTACCAGTGCGGAGGATTAAGATTAGCTTTACGCGACGCGCGTCCCGCAACAGGATGATCTCGCAGTGTAACAATTTCTACGATTTTCCGCGCGTGTGTTCCTGTTTTTTTTCACTCCTCCCGCTCGAACGTTGCTTTCCCCGGACATTCGGAAATAATTTACGAGTGGAAAGGATTCGAGTAGTTTTTCATATGCGCGATGGGCTGCCTTTCAAACTCCGCGTATATACTCATCTGAGACCG